GGGGGGGGGGGGGGGGGGGGGTGGCCAGGCTGAGGGGGGAGTAGAGGGGGTTTTTAAAGGGATCTGAACGCCCTGAGGCTGGACAGCCTCGGCGAATAATTATGATATGGTTATGTATAGCCCTTAATAGGACCCCTAGTATAGACTGTTGCTGGGTGGGAGCAGTACCCAATTTATGTTCTTATCTTTCCCCGTCTCTTCTTGCAACACATGCAAAACAGCAATGCTCGGTTTAGTGGCATCATGCTAAGCTGAGGCATGTCGTTTTATTAGCGTGGAAGTTAACTTGCACTCGCAAAAATAGAAAAGAAACAGTAATAATATTAATTGTATTAATAGCAATTGTAATAACAATAATATTAGTAGTCGTAGCAATCATAGTAATAGTAATAGGTATGAAAGGAAACAGTTTTTAGACTAAACCACGCGTTGTACTCGTTGCAAAAGAAGATCCTGGATCAACGTGGAAGCCCCCGTTTGGTGGTGTCCCGAACTGCATCGAAAGTCAGGCCCCAAGGCCCAGGTTATGTACTGTAGGGGCCTAAATACTTACCAATATTATGGTTCCATACTGTTGAGTTAGGATTTAGGATTTGGGTTTTTGGGGGCAGCGGGCTTGAAGTTTAGGGTCTCTTCATTGATAGAAGTCCAGTCGTACCCATCATGAACCTGTTTACTAATTCCGCTGGGCTCTAACCTCTTACCCTTAAGTAATGTTGCAGTTTTTATTTTGTTTTTGATTACCGTTTCTAATTGTATATAACCTTTTTCTATATAATCCTATGTATATATGTATATGTCTCCCCATAACCCCGGAAACCCTAAACCCTAAACCCCTATATAACCCCATAGAAGCCCCGCAGGATCCTCCGATGGCCTCTCTGCATCCTTTGGCCCTAGCGAAAAGTGCAAATTTGAAGCCCTTAGCCCTTCAACTGCGGTTTAGGGTTTAGGGTTTAGGATTTAGGGCTTAGGGTTTAGGGTTTAGGGTTTCAACCCTCAACCCGAACCACTATCTCTTTCTGTCCTTATATACTGTATCCCTACATAATTCCGATATAACCCCTCTACAACTTTATAGAACCTTGTGTACCCACTTTAGAACCTCTTTATACAAACCCTGTAAACCCTAAACCTTAAACCTTAAATCCCAGACCCCGGCCCTAATGCCTAAACTCTCAATCCTAAACCCTACAGTCTAAATGCCTTAGTCCTGGCCATCCAGGCTTCTGCGTTATTTGGCCGCTGGCTGTGGGAACCGGCGGTGCCGTCGGCACTACCAAGAGCAATCGCGCCTTTGCCCTCAGGGTTAAAGATGGCATACGGATATGTGCGGCGTATTTAGGATTTAGGGTGTAGGGTTCAGGGTTTAGGATTCAGGGGATCGAATATCATACAATCCCTTTAAAGGCTTTATGTACATAAGGGTTACTCAGGGGTCTATGAGGTTATATGGGGATTGCATAGGGATTGGGTTATGTAGGGAAAAAACAGATTACATAGGGTTATATGGGGATACCCAGTAACTTTGTCCTCAGGGTTGTTAGGTTCGGTATTTGGGGTTCAGGGGTTTATCTCGACCCTTTCGGTCGAGACCCATAGCTTTCTCATCATTACGTCAAAGGGTCATGAAATATTAGGGGTTGATCTCAAGGCCCTTCAAGGACATGATTCAATTCAGGCTTCTTGTACACTTGCCAGGAAAATATCGGGGAACTAGTTTTCCATAATGGCCAGCCTGGGAACCCGACTTTGGATCAACTACCATATCTACTACATATTTGGGTTTAGGGTTTAGGGTTTTAGGGCTCCAAACACCTTACGAACCACGGAGAATAAATGGAAAAGACAATGGACCATGAGAGTTTCCGGAGATGATCGCATTTCCCACAGGCTGTGGCCTGCAGCATGCAACGTCATTGTCCTTGTCAGGCCAAAGCCTTGTCCTGAATCATTTGTCACTGACAACTCTAGGGACATCCCTTACTTGACATTTGGCTGCATTTTTAGTCAGACCGAGCAAAAGGGGTCTGACTCCAGGCAAAGCTTCGTTCTATGACACATCTCTTGCAACGAAGTCTCTTCAAATGGGCTAACCAGCTAACCTGGCAAGACTTCGTGCACACTTGGGACTGGGCAGAGACAGTCAGGCCATGCGGGCTGGAAAAAATCAGTGCCACTTAGGCATGCATATGCGCATTTGGCACACAGCTGGCTTCTGGAAAGAAGCTTTGACCAACCCCTAAACCCTAAATCCTACACCATGTAGCCAGAATCCACAGCCTTAGCTTGCGTTCTATGGCTGCGTATCAAGCAAGTAACTACTTCGTCAAGCTTGGAAATACCAATGAAGTGGCTCACCACACGGACGTGTCGGAAATCGAGCACAAGCGCAACATCGAGAAAAGCCTCCCTGCCGCGGAGCAAGGATACACCCATTACTCTGCACGGAAGAATGGGCCCTGGAACTGCGTTGGCTGTTTGAGGGGCGGTGCTGTAATGGGGAACCGAAGCGGCAAATGCAGGGTGGCAAAGTGTCGTGGAGCGCCCAAAGGAGCCCGTTCAAAGCGATGCAATTGTGGCAGCTGCTGATAACCAAACTGTGGCTTCAGCTCGCCTTGCCATTCCAAGAGCCACGTTCAAAGTTTAGGGTTTAGAATTTAGGGGTCTGGACTTCGGCCTTGGGGTCAGGGTTAAGCGCTGAAGTGGGGGAAGAATACTAAGAAGGTCTAGATAATCAGGAAACACATGTCAACGCCCAATCTACATTTCGATCGAATGTGCGCTCCTGTGGGTGTGAAATGCAGTTGGAGCCCCCAAACTTGCTGGTAGGGATGAAGGAAGGGAGAGGAGCATGGAAACAGTCATTATATTTTTGGGGCGGCATACAGGCCTCTATAGGGATCATTCCCCCGTTCGCTGCTGACAATCAGGAAACAAACCCTAAACCCTAGACCCTAAAGCCTCTCAAGTCCTGTAAAATGACCCATGCTGTCTCGAGCCCCCAGCGCCTTCACATGCTGGTGCTTCCCAGGATTATTCCTTAAATCGTATCAAGGGCACTAGTTGCATTTAGGGTACTCCTCGCATTAGGCCGTAGTGGGCTTTCCGAGGAAGCGGGAGTGGACATGGAACAAATTGCCCTAAACCCCAAACCCCTTCCGTGCCCCACTCCCCTGGATCCTTTGAATAAATCCACCCATGAATGTATTCATGTCACCCATTTACCCTAAACCAGCAAGCCCAATATGACTTAACTAAGGAATGAGTAGATATATATGTATACATACAATATATGGTCTATAGTCGAAACTCCAAGTATCGCCCTTAATAACCCTTAAAAAAATCTTTTAGATAATCCCTATACAGCCTTTTTTAAAGAGTCAGCTCAGGCTCTCTGGCCAGCACCAGGAACACACTGCGCAACCAAAACCCTACACCGTAAACCTCAAATCCCTAACCCCAAACCCTCCACCCCCTCCCCCTTTACGCCTCAGTACCACACTGAAAGACCGACGTTGGTCATTCCAAGGATTCTTTCGGTGGATCCATGTCCGGGCACAGCTCGCAGGCTTTCTACGGGCTTAGAATTCAGGGTCGAGGGTTGAGGATTTAGGATTGAGGGTTTGGGGTTTAATTAGGGTGTAGGATTCAAAGTTTAGGGTTTAAAGTGTAGGGTTTAGGGGAGTTCGCTCATATTTCTAAATTGGAGGTTCATGCAGGGTTAAGGGGTGTTTCGAGTTTTGAGGGGTCCAGGGTCTTCTTTTGGTAGTTTCCACAAGTAGGGGAGCCCATTATAGGCCCTAAAATGCTAGAACCTTTACTATGGGGCCCCCGCGCAATTTGTGAAAAAAAGAGCGCTTGGCTTTGCACCTTTGTGTTTGCAACTTGGGTCCTGTTTACACCAAGCGCTTCAGCTTCAGTGTGAGTTGTGTTGCTCAAGCCCTGAACCGTAGACGCTAAACCCTAAACCCAAATCCATAGGGATTCAACCTTAAACCCGAGAACACAATCGCTGAGCCTAAATCCCTAATCCCAAAACCCAAAACCCCAGACCTTAGACCCCAAACCCGCCTACCACCGATGATATTCTGTAGGTGAGTGGGCACGTCGAGCGCCAGCGAGACCATGGCAGGCTCTGCTCAGCTGCAGAGCCTGCTGAGCCTCCTCCAAGGCCATCACCACGCTTGGTCGCCAAGCACTGTCACGCTCTATATTACATTTCCCTAAACTCCAGAAAATCTCCAGAAAATTGCTTGGGCGAGGTGCTAAACCCTCAGGACCAAACGCTAAACCCTCAGGACCAAACGCTAAAACCTTCAGGACCAAATGCTAAACCCCCAGGACCCGACGCTAAACCCTCCGGACCAAACGCTAAACCTTCAGGACCAGACGCTAAACCCTCAGCACCAAACGCTGAACCTCGGGACCAGGCGCTGAACCCTCAAGACCAGACGCTATGTCGGGCCTCTCCCAAACCGTTCGAGCCTCTCCCGACCGTTTCTGCCTCCCCCAGACAGTTTCTAAGCCTGTTCCTAAACCCTTTCTGAGCGGTTTTTCGAGCCTCTCCCAGACCGTTTCCAGAGCGTTTCTGAGCATTGGCAGCTCGCGTGTCTTGGAGCAGGTTAAAACTGCCCCCAGCGCAAAACCTCAAGTTTCGTCTGAGGCAATCAAGTCCAGCAAATTTGCAAGAACGCTTTTACAATAGCCTCGGCGGCCTTTGCAGCATGGATCGCTTTTTACGTAGTGGCTCGGGCTTGGCTGGCTTTGGCTCATTCGGCTGGTTGGTTTTTATTACTGTAAGTCGTGTTTGGGTGGTGGGCGTGTCTGGATACTAACTGTCCAGCAACCCAATCCTACACCCTAAACCTTAGCCCTGGACCCCCCCAAAACCCTAAAACCCTAAGCTCCAGCTTGCAGGGTTTCTCCTCGCTGTTGCCTTGGGCTATGCTGCGGAGCTTCACCTGGGCTAGGGCGAGGAAGGAAAAACCGAGTCAGGGCTCCGCGCTCCAGATGTATGGTTATATGGTTTTGGGGATGATCTGGGGACTAGGGTTTACTATTTAGGGTTTAGGGTCTAAACTCCTTAAAGGGGGGTTATATAAGGGATTATATAGGGGACTCGTATGGGGATTATTTAGGGGGATACAAGGAGTTTAGACTATAGCTTATGTAGGGTTATATCAGGATACTAAGCGGTTATGCAGGGTTGTTAGAGGGTTATATAGGGATAATGGAGAAAAACATGGAAACAATTAATTAGGTCTTAGGCTTTGGTTTAAGGTTTTGGGCGTAAATCATTCACCTGATAAAGGAGAATCACATGGAGAAGAGAAAGGGAAACTTAACGGAAACTCCGATTATTTAGGGGTTTATGAAAACAAGGTGGCTTCAGTACTAAGTTGGGGCTCAGAGGCTGTAAGCCCTAGACCTTAAACCCTAAACCTTAAACCTTGAACCCTAAACCCTAAGCCCAAGGTAGCCCTGCAAGAGTGCCAGAGTTGCAGGGACCAGTTGCAAGTACTGTTGTTGTTGTGGTTGTTGCTAGGATTACTATTCTAATTCTGATTTGTATGGGGATTGCCTTAAATTCATAGTTTTACGGGTCCCTGTAGTGGGATTCCCATCACAGTATGGTTGGCCCGACTTGCCCTGCCCAAGCTAAGTGGACATGGCCATGTAAGACATCGGACGATGTTCGCAAATCTGCATCTGCATCACGATATGGGTCCTTATTTAATCTTCCCGTATTTTGGGAACACTGATTTAGGCCAAGTCCCTTATGATGATGATCACTATCATGGGCAGTACCTTGGCATAAGAACAGCCCGGATGCTGAAAAACATCAACCTCGCGTCCCTGCCCCAAACTATCCTGTGATTGTTCAAAAAGACCTTGTCCCAACAATGGCAATAAGGTAGATCCCCATTTTGTTTAGCATCTCCTTTCAAGGGAGTGTCTTTCGCATTGTCCCTCTTTTCGCAGGATTCCTAGAATAATCCGCTGGATTCCTAGAATAATCCTAACCCCTAAACTTTTTCTTTCTTTATATACCCCTACCTAACCCCTACAAATCCGTTTCAAATGACCTTTGGAGCAACTCTGCTTTGTTCTTGCCAACCCGCTGCCCAAACCAAAAGCCTGAACAAAAAAAGGTGCAACTTCTGATCCAGCAAGAGGTTCTCCCATTATTACTAGTACGACAACAATAAGTATTACTATTTCTGCTCACTATTACCAATCATAATTAGAACTATTATTACTTCCAAAGCGGCAAATCTTTACATTGAACTGCAGTTCTTCCATTCACGCCTCTGATCTTTTGAAGCCTGCTAGCCAGGTCCAGTGCTTCAGCATAGTCTTCACGGGATAGCGTGCTCATGCCTGCAATGGTCAGCCTCAGCTGAATCTGATGCCGGTGCTGTAAGCTAAGCATGAGGCCAAGATTCGTTCTCGTGCACGCTACCAGTACTACTCTTATTGTTATTCTTGCTAATATTACAGCAATAGTACTACGCTATGTTACTCCTAGAGGAGAAAGGCTTCTCTGAAAGATGAACTTGCCCTGTCCTGGTTCATCCTGTTACCTCCACCCTTATCCCTGAACTCTGAACTGGAGACCCTCAAGTCCAGAATACATAGAAATGGTACAGGACCCTAAAAACCAAAACACAAAGCCCGTACAAAACTCAGGATATGAACCCCAGACAATTAAGCAAATTCCAAAATAGACCTTACATATTCTTATCCCCGTTCTAGGGATCCCCAAAAAGCTACCCCAAATTTTGGGAAACTCCCATTTCCATGTACCCTAAGCCTGAAGCCTGCAGCAGATGATCCTCCGCACCCTCTGGAGGTTGCCGCATTGCGGGCGCTCGGCAGCGCCAGTGCCGCCTTTGCTAGTGAGACCCCCAGGGTCACTTCTGGGGTTAGGGCTTAGGGTCTAGGGGTTTAAAGTTTAGGGGTTTAGGGTTTTTGGAGTTTCGCGTTTCGGGTTTCATAGCAATAGGGAATCCCAGTATAAAACCCACTGCAGGGTAAAGCATAGGATGGGGACTCCTTAAGATAGTATGGCCCCTGATTTTTTAGACCCCATAAGCCCTATGGAGGGTTTTGTCGCGTCTATAGCCCCCCGTAAGTAGATAGTATATGGGGGATTTGGGGATCTTATTATAACATACCCAAAGCCACATTCTATCTACTTAAGGGGGGCTATATGTTGACTCCTTGTCGAGGGGTGCGCAGGCTGAGATCGCACAATTTGCCCGGGGGTCGCATGGCCCCCCGAAAAAGGTCTCCTCGATGTATGGGAACCCCCGAAATCCTAAAATCCTAAACCCCAAACCCTTAACCTTAAGCCCTAAACCCTCAACCCTTAAACCCTTTAACCCTAAACCCTTCAACCCTAAACCCTAAGCCCTAAGCCATAAACCCTGAACCTTAAACCCTAAACCCTTAAACCCTAAACCCTAAACAGACGGTTGGACATACGACATCCCCCAGTTCAGGCCTACTACAACGAAGGTTCTAGTATGTTGGGGCTTTTGAGGTCATGTAGGGGGTCGTCCTCCTTATCTGGTATGTTCCGCAAATGTGGACCCCTGAAAGGTATAACCCTGATTACAGAAACACCCCAAGAAGGATATCAATCTCCTATGGAGACCTACACCCTAAACCCTAAACCCAGAAAACCCTAAACCCTAAGCCC